TGATCTCCATACTGACATTACCCAGAATCCCTCACCTCTCCAGCCAGCAGGTAGATGATCTCCATGGTGACATTACCCAGAATCCCTCACCTCTCCAGTCAGCAGGTAGATGATCTCCATGGTGACATTACCCAGAATCCCTCACCTCTCCAGCCAGCAGGTAGATGATCTCCATGGTGACATTACCCAGAATCCCTCACCTTTCCAGTCAGCAGGTAGATGATATCCATACTGACATTAGAATCCCTCACCTCTCCAGTCAGCAGGTAGATGATCTCCATAATGACATTACCCAGAATCCCTCACCTCTCCAGTCAGCAGGTAGATGATCTCCATACTGACATTACCCAGAATCCCTCACCTCTCCAGTCAGCAGGTAGATGATCTCCATAATGACATTACCCAGAATCCCTCACCTCTCCAGTCAGCAGGTAGATGATCTCCATATGACATTACCCAGAATCCCTCACCTCTCCAGCCAGCAGGTAGATGATCTCCATGGTGACATTACCCAGAATCCCTCACCTCTCCAGTCAGCAGGTAGATGATCTCCATAATGACATTACCCAGAATCCCTCACCTCTCCAGCCAGCAGGTAGATGATCTCCATAATGACATTACCCAGAATCCCTCACCTCTCCAGTCAGCAGGTAGATGATCTCCATAATCACATTACCCAGAATCCCTCACCTCTCCAGTCAGCAGGTAGATGATCTCCATGGTGACATTACCCAGAATCCCTCACCTCTCCAGTCAGCAGGTATGATCTCCATAATGACATTACCCAGAATCCCTCACCTCTCCAGTCAGCAGGTAGATGATCTCCATGGTGAGATCCAATATCATTTCAGTCATCTGTTTCCTGACCTTGTTCATCACTGCGGCGTTCGTCACAGGCTATGGCCTTTGTTGATGAGACAGACGGTACTGCAATTTAAACATACACACTGCATTACAGTGCACAATCTTATGGAGATAAATGACTGAGTAGAGAAAGTAAGATTAATCAGAATTAGAGCAACAACAATCGTCAGCTTCACTCAGTCTGGCTTACGCCTGTGGAAAATGTGTATCACTGTCACCCTGTAATGAGAGGAACAGACGTGAGGGACTGTAGGGAAAGTCCTATCAGCCTGCAGTGAGGGACTGTCAATAACTTATCATTTTCACAGAGGATGGGAGACGCTGACCGGTCACTACCGAGTATGGGAAATGCTGACCGGTCGCTGTCTGTTCCAGAGGATAAAAGACGCTGACTGGTCACTGTCTGTTACTGAGGACGGGAGAGGCTGACCAGTCGCTGTCTGCTATCGAGGATGGGAGACGCTGATTGGTCGCTGTCTGCTATCTAGGATGGGAGACGCTGATTGGTCGCTGTCTGCTATCTAGGATGGGAGACGCTGATTGGTCGCTGTCTGTTACCGAGGATGGGAGACCCTGACGGGTCGCACCCGAGGATGGGAGACGCTGACCATCGCTGTCTATTACGAGGATGGGAGATGCTACCGAGGATGGGAGTCGCTGACCGGTCGCTGTCTGTTACCGAGGATGGGAGACGCTGGCCGGTCGCTGTCTGTTACCAAGGATGGGAGACGATGACCGGTCGCTGTCTGTTACCGAGGTTGGGAGACGCTGGCCGGTCGCTGTCTGTTACCGAGGACGGGAGACGCTGACCGGTCGCTGTCTGTTACCGAGGATGGGAGACGATGACCGGTCGCTGTCTGTTACCGAGGATGGGAGACGCTGACCGGTCGCTGTCTGTTACCGAGGATGGGAGACGATGACCGGTCGCTGTCTGTTACCGAGTACGGGGGACGCTGACCGGTCGCTGTCTGTTACCGAGGTTGGGAGACGCTGGCCAGTCGCTGTCTGTTACCAAGGATGGGAGACGATGACCGGTCGCTGTCTGTTACCGAGTACGGGGGACGCTGACCGGTCGCTGTCTGTTACCGAGGTTGGGAGACGCTGGCCAGTCGCTGTCTGTTACCAAGGATGGGAGACGATGACCGGTCGCTGTCTGTTACCGAGGACGGGAGACGCTGATGAAGCTGCGGAGGTAGAAGCGCGGTTTGTTAGCAGTCTAGTCTCCCATTGGCAGAGGGTGTGTATGGGGGAGATTCTGTCTGTCCATCATCCAGTAATAAATCAATAAACTCACAGATCTGGAATAACTAGTTACCTGAGCCGAATACACTACACTCAGCCAGTGACATCACTGACCCCAGCCTGGCCGGCGCGGAGCATCACGGGACCTGTAGTTTTACTGTGAGACGTACCCTGGCAGCGCGCGCTCTATCCGAGATCTACACACTCGAGCGGACTGCACCCAAACACAATCCCGGCCATGTTTCCGGAGACACAGATTCCGTCATATTAAAGTAACGGGGAGGGCACTGTGTGTCAATGGCCGATACTAATTCTTATTTAACATTAAAACAAGCTGCTTGGTATCTGCCTGGCCATTGTGCTTTAATATGACGGAATCTGTGTCTCCGGAAACATGGCCGGGATTGGAGTCATGTTTGGGTGCAGTCCGCTCGAGTGTGTAGATCTCGGATAGAGCGCGCGCTGCCAGGGTACGTCTCACAGTAAAACTACAAGTCCCGTGATGCTCCGCGCCGGCCAGGCTGGGGTCAGTGATGTCACTGGCTGAGTGTAGTGTATTCGGCTCAGGTAACTAGTTATTCCAGATCTGTGAGTTTATTGATTTATTACTGGATGATGGACAGACAGAATCTCCCCCATACACACCCTCTGCCAATGGGAGACTAGACTGCTAACAAACCGCGCTTCTACCTCCGCAGCTTCATCAGCGTCTCCCGACCTCGGTAACAGACAGCGACCGGTCATCGTCTCCCATCCTTGGTAACAGACAGCGACTGGCCAGCGTCTCCCAACCTCGGTAACAGACAGCGACCGGTCAGCGTCCCCCGTACTCGGTAACAGACAGCGACCGGTCAGCGTCTCCCGTCCTCGGTAACAGACAGCGACCGGTCATCGTCTCCCATCCTTGGTAACAGACAGCGACCGGCCAGCGTCTCCCAACCTCGGTAACAGACAGCGACCGGTCAGCGTCCCCCGTACTCGGTAACAGACAGCCACCGGTCAGCGTCTCCCGTCCTCGGTAACAGACAGCGACCGGTCAGCGTCTCCCGTCCTCGGTAACAGACAGCGACCGGTCAGCGTCTCCCGTCCTCGGTAACAGACAGCGACCGGTCAGCGTCTCCCGTCCTCGGTAACAGACAGCGACCGGTCAGCGTCTCCCATCCTGGGTAACAGACAGCGACCAGTCAGCGTCTCCCGTCCTGGGTAACAGACAGCGACCGGTCAGCGTCTCCCGTCCTCGGTAACAGACAGCGACCGGTCAGCGTCTCCCGTCCTCGGTAACAGACAGCGACCGGTCAGCGTCTCCCGTCCTCGGTAACAGACAGCGACCGGTCAGCCCAAAAAGGGAGCATGTCTGTCCAAAGAATTGGAAGGCCATCCTGGCATCAGTGTCCCCCTAGTCTTCCAGTGTCCCCATGTCTTTGTATGTTCCGTGTCACTAGGATACTAGGGGACACTGAGACACATGGGGATACAATGAGACTTGGAGACATGGGGGCACTTGTGGATACAGCCATGGGGACACTGGGAGAAATGGGGACAAAGACACTAGGGACATAGAAACATGGCAACATAGAGACATGGGAACACAGGCACTGGGAGACTAGGGGACACTGGGATACATGGGGACACTGGATGGGAGGCATGGGGACCCTGATACACTTGGGGACACAGACATGGGGGCACTTGTGGACATAAACATGGGGACACTGAGACATATGAGGACACAGACACTGAGAGACATGGGGACACAGACACTATGGACACGCTCTGAGAGACATTGGGAGAAATGGGGACACACGTGGACACTGGGAGACATTGGGACACAATCACTATGGACACTCTCTGAGAGACATTGGGAGACATGGGGACACACGTGGACACTGGGAGACATTGGGACACAGACATTTGGGGACACTGGGAGACTAGGGGACACTGGGAGCCATGGAGACACTATGTCCTTATTGTCTCTGTGTCCCAATGTGTCTCACAATATTCCTATGTCTCACAATGTCCCCAAGTGTCTCAGTGTCCCCAGGTCTCCCAGTGTCCCCTAGTGTCTCAGTGTCCCCATGTCTTCCTGCTGCCTTTCCCCACATCCTTCAGTTTCCTGAGCTTTAGGCTGTCTCTGCTGTCTGGACTCTCTGTGCTGTGTAACTGCTCCCCTGTGGATCAGTGAGTAGAGCAAGGCAGAGAGGGATATGCTGTAACTTCCTATCCCTGCCTCTCTCCACATACAGTGACCCCTACTGGCTGGTGCTAATATTAAGGAGTAATCTCCGTTTATACTGAGAAAAATATCTGCATTTGTATTGCTGGTTTAACTGCAATACCGGCGCCGGCCAGGCAGCCTCAAATACCAGCTGTCCCGGTAAAATGCCAGTTAAGGGGCAAACCTAAGAATAGTGTGCAAAAAAGTGTAAAAATTATTATTATTTTTTTTCAATGGGCCTATTCCATGGGCCTGGAGCTGCAGCTCCATCATCCCCTATGTTAATCCAGCCCTGATGGGGTCTCTATTGAACATGCAGTAAGCTCACCCAGACGCCTCTGTGTCTGGGAGATATTTGTGTCAGCTCTCGTTTAAACAAATTCCCTTTCCAGATACAGAGAGAGAAACACAGAATACCCCCAAAAACATCCATCCTTGAACCCTCACATATTATATATGCCCGGATAGGTTTGATCTGAGCGCTTTTGCCCGGCCGCTAAGAAAGTTTTACCCAAATTTGTTTCCATAAGGCGGGCGTCGCACTCTGGTCTTTTAACAGGAGCTTTAGCAGCTCGAGGAAGGGGGGGCTCCCTCTGGCTCATAAATAGCAATTGTCCAACTTGAATTGTATCTTCCCTCCAAAAAGCACTCTCCTAGTAATCTCAGTTAATACTGAGAAAAATATCTGCATTTGTATTGCCGATTTAACTGCAATACCGGCACCGGCCAGGCAGCCTCAAATACCAGCTGTCCCGGTAAAATGTCAGTTAGGGGGCAAACCTAAGTATAGTGTGCAAAAAAGTGTAAAAAAAAAACACATTTCGATGGGCCTCAAGCTGCAGCTCCATCAGCCCCCATGTTAATCCGGCCCTGATGGGGTGAGACCCAGGGAACAAGATGACTGGGTCGAGGGGCTGAACATGGCCAAGCTGAAGTTCCAGAGACAACATTGGTAGCTCATGCTGGAGGTGTTAGGATATTCCGAGCTCCCTGAAATGGCCAATGGGCAAGGGGCGCTGGCTAGAAAATACATAGAGGGGAAGAAGAGGAGCGGGATAGTAGGGGGATAAAGTCTGTGGTAGCGGATTATAATTCTTTTGGGGTGCAGGTTCTTTACAGTTATAAGGACATTCATTATATCAGTTTGATAGAGATATGATAACTTAATAAAGGAATATTTATTATGAACAAAAATACACAGTGCATACAAAAAATAGATGACAAATTATTTACACCAAGCATGTCAAACTCAAAGTATAGCACGGGCCAAATAAACAAGGTTTAAGTTTATGTGGGCCACAAAAAAAAACAACTT